ATTGTTTGCCGATGAGAGAAACACTGCACACACACATCCACGAGGGAAAACGGAGGGGGTGACAGCGTGCAATGTAAATGTTGCAGTTGTTATTGATTGCATACTGTTGCATTGATACTTTTCTTGTGTGATGCAAAGTGCATTTTTTTTTCATTATAGATTGTGTTCTTATGTTTTTTGATGGAAATTATGTGCATATATGTGTGTGTGTGTGTAGTACGTATGAATGTATGAACAGTACGACTGTGTCTGTATGTGTGTTTATGGATGTATGTGTATTTATATACGTATGTGTGTGTTTATGTATATATGTGTGTGTTTATGTATGTATGTGCTTGTTAATGTATGTGTTTGTTTATATATGTAATTGTGTGGATATGTTGTATATGTATGTATTTGTGTGTTTACGTATGTATTTGTGCGCATATGTATGTTTATGTTTATGTATGTGTGTAAAGTCAAGCAGAAGAAGAAAGGATAAAGGAATATATACAAGAAGGGAACTGATGAATATGGGAAGGAAAAGGGGAAATATATTTTTTTGTTTATTTCTTTTCCTTTCTTTTCTTTCCTATTTTTACGGTGATAAATGGATGGCGATGGTTTATTCTTATAAATGGAGAATTATTCAAATTATATCCTTCATGTAATATTTTTTTGAAGGAAGTGATAATTCTGGATTTCTTCAGATTCTTTAGAACACCGAAAATCCTTAAAAGTTCATAGTTGATATTTGCTCTCTTTTTATCTTCTCTCTCTCTCTCTCTCTCTCTCACTCTCTCTCTCTCTCTCTCTCTCTCTCTCTCTCTCTCTCTCTCTCTCTCTCTCTCTCTCTCTCTCTCTCTCTCTCTCTCTCTCTCTCTCTCTCTCTCTCCGTCCTTCTCTCTCTCTCCCTTCCCCAAAACCCTTCCACCATCCTCCTTCACACCTTCTCCCTCCCTCCCTCTCTTTTATTCATCTATTTATCTTTTATCTCATCTACCCACCCTTTCCCCATTCATCCACACTCAACTTTCACACTTTCAAACAAGCACTCTCACCCCCTCCCCCCCCCCCCCTCCTTTCCCTTCACCCCCCCGTCCCTCCCCTCCCTTCCCCTTCACCACCCCCTCCCCCCTCCCTCCTAATTCAGAGACCCACCTCATCCGGGACTTAGCGCCCGACTGATCCCGGGTCCTAATTAATCTGAAGTATTACTCGAAGCTTTCGGCAAATACTCGACTCGGATGTACGTTCGGGCGGTGTTGACTCAGTGCCACAAAGACGTGATTCCCAGTGCCACGCCCCTAATCCCCCTCCCCTTCCTCCTCTTCCTCCTTCCTCCTCCCTAGCTCCTCCTCCCTCCCCTAGGCCCCTCCTCCCCTCCCCTAGGCCCCTCCTCCCCTCCCCTAGGCCCCTCCCTCCCTCCCCTCCCCTAGGCCCCTCCTCCCCTCCCTTATGCCCCTCCTCCCCTCCCCTCCCCTAGGCCCCTCCTCCCCTCCCCTCCCCTAGCCCCTCCTCCCCTCCCCTAGGCCCCTCCTCCTCCCCTCCCCTAGGCCCCTCCTCCCCTCCCCTAGGCCCCTCCTCCTCCCCTCCCCTAGGCTCCTCCTCCCCTCCCCTAGGCCCCTCTCCCCTCCCTTAGGCCCCTCCTCCCCTCCCCTAGGCCCCTCCTCCTCCTCCTCCTCCTCCTCCTCCCCTCCCCTATGCCCCTCCTCCCCCCCCCTCAGGCCCCTCCTCCCCTCCCCTAGTCCCCTCCTCCCCTCCTAGGCCCCTCCTCCCCTCCCTTGGCCCCTCCTCCCCTCCCCTCCCCTAGGCCCCTCCTCCCCTTCCCCTAGGCCCCTCCTCCTCCCCTCCCCTAGGCTCCTCCTCCCCTCCCCTAGGCACCTCCTCCCCTCCCCTAGGCCCCTCCTCCCCTTCCTTAGGCCCCTCCTCCCCTCCCCTAGGCCCCTCCTCCCCTCCCCTCCCCTAGGCCCCTCCTCCCCCCTTAGGCCCCTCCTCCCCTCCCCTAGGCCCTCCTCCCCCCCTTAGGCCCCTCCTCCCCTCCCCTAGGCCCCTCCTTCCCCCCCTCAGGCCCCTCCTCCCCTCCCTTAGGCCCCTCCTCCCCTCCCTTAGGCCCCTCCTCCCCTCCCCTAGGCCCCTCCTCCCCCCCCTTAGGCCCCTCCTCCCCTCCCCTAGGCCCCTCCTCCCCCCCTCAGGCCCCTCCTCCCCTCCCTTAGGCCCTCCTCCCCTCCCTTAGGCCCCTCCTCCCCTCCCCTAGGCACCTCCTCCCCTCCCTTAGGCCCCTCCTCCCCTCCCCTAGGCCCCTCCCTCCTCCCTTAGGCCCCTCCTCCCTCCTCTAGGCCCCTCCTCCCCTCCCTTAGGCCCCTCCTCCCCTCCCTAGGCCCCTCCTCCCCTCCCCTAGGCCCCTCCTCCCTCCCCTAAGCCCTCCTCCCCCCTTAAGCTCCTCCTCCCCTCCTCCCCTCCCCTAGGCCCCTCCTCCCCCCCCTTAGGCCCCTCCTCCCCTCCCCTAGGCCCCTCCTCC